GTGCTGTGTAACAGATTTTCTTCGGTCACTTTGATTGAAGATTGACTGATTTTAGGCTGATCCAATAAGGATCATCTTCTGTTATCGTTTGATAACATGTTGATTGTCAATTGCTTATTTCCAGATAAACTTTAACTCGCTCGTGCGGCTCAACCTAAGACCTTAGCCACTGCGGGTTCAATTGTTTCTTTGAGTTTTTACCCGGACTTTTATTTAATGACCATTTCAAAATGACTGACTGTTTTCGTTTGAAAGGTTGGACAAAGGTTGAGGCTTGTGTGGAGAGTGGTTGAAGTTGACCCCGTGTAGTGTGTGGTCTGTTGATGTTGAATCTTTGCATGATTGAAGGTATGCATTGTAATTTGAAGTAAGGTTTTGACTTGCTTGCTATCATTTACAACTTTGGAAGGAAGTCACACTGTGATTGTGAGAGTGATTACCTTGTATTCACCAATCTCACTGTGTTTATATTCTGTATATTCGCACGACATGCTTTGACTATGCGCGAGGGTTGAGTAAATTTTGGATGAGAAAAAAATAAAATCCCCTGTTGATTTTTGCTTATTAAGTTCTATAATTGGACATTGAGGTCCGTGACGGTTGTCTAACTCAAACCCCTTTATATGTTCTAAGGCCTCCGAAGATGAGGCCTCGTCCCAGAAATCAGGGGCGTTTCACCACCACAAAGGGGTGAAGTTCGCCTACCGCCCCTCTCAGCAATGTGCAGAAGAAGGTAGGGCTTGCAATTGCAGTCCCGACTGTCTAGCGCCATGAGATTGACCTCTTAAAACGCATATCAACCGATACTTGAATGTCAAAGGCGACCCTCAAAATCATTGGGGCCGCACAATTATTAATACTATATAGTACGCCATCGTTGCGATTGCTTGCGTATTCATGCATGACTGGTCCATATGATAAACCCTACGCCGCTGCAATACTTATTTAGAGTCTTGTGTGCGACACTCACTTATTTCGTTATCGAAAGGTTATGGGATAAAAGTGGAAAAAGAGACTAGGCACAATTTACGTGTGACGCTTTGTTTTATTTAGTAAAGAATGTCGATTGGTTAGATGGATCGTCCTAGTCGACCCACGCAAAGTTACGCTTGGGAGATCGAGAGAAGGTTAACGGAGACCCTAATTTTCAGACCACTTGCCATGCCATTTACATGAAAACCAAAAGGTCATTTTAATCAAACTTGCCACCAATTCGTAGAGTGGAGACTATACAAACTAACTGCAAAAAAAAAAAAAAAAAAAAAAATCAAAAACTTATAAAACAGCAAGGCAAAAGTGCATTTCGTGAAATTTCACCAACATCTCAATTTCAGAAATCTTGAGAAATTTCATAAATCTTAACAGACGAAATTCCAATTCTCAAAATGACACAAAATTTGGCACACACGAACGTTAAACCAAAACAAGAGCAGGCAAAAAAAAAAAAAAAAAAAAAAAAACATAAAATTTGGCCCCGTTACAGTTTTGGACTCGTTACCCAGGGCCTGAAAATGGGGGTCCCCGTTCACCATTTGTGACAGTGAATGAGAAACAGCCTCGGATAGGCCACATTTGCCATTGCACTTGAGAAACTTTCGCAAAGGTAAGTTGTGCCTCACGTGGTTTCATAACTCCTTGGGGATACGCCTGCCTAAGGGTGGTGATAACCCTTGGGCAAAGGTAAGTTGTGCCTCACGTGACATTTATTTTGTCGCAGGGGTTTGCAAGAGGTACGACCAACGCACTCGGCCGGAGCGGCAAAAATTCTGTGAAAGAAACTCCTCCAAAATTCAAAGTAACGCGGTCGGGAGGGTCCCTCTGCAGAACCGATATCCATGACATCGACACATGCCCACATCCGCTTGTACCTTAACGACCCACTTGCATATTATAACAAGAAGCAAAGCAAAAGGGAAGATATGCTCTTGTGCATTTCATGTCAGATCTTCATACTCCTGTTCATTTCACCTTCTACTTGTACTTTATTTGTTCACTTAATGATGCTCGTTCGTATGTATTTGCTAGTAGCACATAAGGAGCGGGTGGAGGGAAAGGGGCAGGAGGTGTGAATGTTTTGAATTTTCACCTATTCCACCCAGATGATCAGGTCCAAAATCAAATCATATTCAATCATATTACAGACAACGAAAGCCCTTGAGTTAAGATAATCCACCTCTATAGCAACCAACGTGGAACACAATAGAAGCATGTAAACCCCTTTCTTAATTCTGTTCCGGTTTGTTTTCTTTGGGGTACCCCTTTCATTTGTTCTTGCAGCTCCCTTTTTACCGTGCCTCTTATGCATAAGGCTCGCCACGTTGACTGTGGTTGAGCGTGAGCTGCCCACATCCTCGTGTGCCATAACGACCCACTTGTACACTATGAAAGGAGCCAGAGCAAATGCGGAGGTATATTCCTGTTCATTTCTTCGATCTTCAACCTATATTTTGTCTGTTCTCTTAATGACGTTGATTTGTATATATTACTAGTAATACAAAAGTGGAGGGAGGGAGGAAATGCGATGTGGAGTTCTTACAGGGTTCTAACACAGTGCCTGCTGGGGCAGACCACTCTAGAATGGCACATGAGGCCAGTCCGTGTGTGGGTTGCATAAGATTTGAGGAGCAATCGTTGCCTATGGTAAGTGGCCACCTCTGCAGACTGTGTGTGTGTGTGTTTTATTAAAGCACCCCAAATTCTCTCTCTCATTTCCTTCACAAATCATAACAAACCATCCATAACAAAAGAGTATAGATAGACAATATAATAGAAAATGCAAGGTTGGCCACGTTTGTGTGGTTCAGCGTCAAGCGCCCACACACCCATCTGCCGCCGAAACGACACACTTGCACATATACATATATACATCTATTTATTTCATCCATAAAACGCCGAAGGGAAAAAAACAACTTACCTAAGACAGAGGACTCCACCAGCAAGAAATCACCGACCCCATCCTCCATAGGTATGAAAAAACTTGGAGAGCCTACCATGTCAGCCCACAAAACCACAACTTGAAACCAACATAATGCAAAAGGCTCCACAAACAGAAAAGCACCGACCACAGCCAATGGTCTAGTCCTCTGCGACAGCCTACAACACCACCACAAATCAGAAATACACTGCAGGACTTGCCCCCCTGCCGCGCAGCCTGCAGAATCGGATGATGTCCTAGTGCTACAGCCAGGCCACTGCCGAGTACTACGCCAAGTTCCACAAGATCTCACACGACACCAAGAGCGTTATTGCCTAAAACACCCTAGAAGCTACCCCATTCTTCCATGTGCTCTGAAAGAGCAGCCTGCAGGAATGACATCCACAGCAAAAACTCTCTAACCGTCCTTGCAGAGATATTGTGGCCGMCCCCTCCCCCCGCCCCACCCTTCCACCTCTCCTCTGTGTTACATGCTCGGTTGAGCAAATGAACGAAGAGCCAAGGATCCGCAACGTGATGAAAAGGACAGAAATGGGCAAAGCAGTGTGAACGAATCCCAACAAGCAATGTTCATCTTGATATATGCAAAACGGTAGTTTGAAACACAGCAAGAGACTTGGATCTAAGTCCTAACAGACTAGGACTGATATGACAGTTCATGGTACAACATACATGTAAAAAGAGAAGGGACACWTAGGYTGTTGGASTCCGTGAGAGTACAGARCAGAACAAGGACCGACCTTCCTTACACCGTATCAGATAGCGCAGCGGAATGCTAGAATACCAATGCTCAACCAATCAATGTCGAAGTTCAGACTCAACGTGCAACACCATCATTGTGAGGCGAGACAGGCCTGGTGCCATACACAGAAGTGCGCCAGGTCCCAACCATACACAGACGAAGAGGGGGGAAGGAACAGACGAAGAAGAGATAGGAATGTAGTTGACACCAAGTCTTAGTACAAGTCCCAACTAAGCCCTCATCGCAGGTTTGAACCCAATGTCGAATCTGACTCCAATGTCGAGTCTGAATCCAATGTAGCCAAGTTTCATAGTCACAGTCTCCCTCTCGTAGTTTGCAGATACCGAGAAGGTAGGTAGCGAGAGGGCAGAGATGAGGTAGGGGACTTAGAAGAAGAAGAAGAAGAACTCTCTCTCTCACTCGCTCTCAGTCCGATACTGACCTGTGAAGTTGGCGCCTGGTTGCAGGTAGCCCGAAGATGGAGCTGGAGCGATGGCGCCAGAAGAAAGTCCCCCTGGCCTCCGCCAGGTATCCTCCTACCTCCTCTAGTGCTACCTACAGCTATGGCGCCCAGCGCTAAGGACTACTGCTAGCGCTCCTGAAGACTACCACCGAATCCTGAAGACTACAAATGACAACTGATACTTCCCCTTGCCTGTAGGGCGGGCCAGTCTTATATAGTGCTGGCCCGTCCAGGAGGCTGCTCTTGCCAATGCCCAAACATGCTAGACCCTGAGGAAGCTTCCTGGAAGTTTCCATGTAGCTTCTGGCTGAAGCCTGAGGAAGCTTCCGGAAAGTTCCTAGGTAGCTTCTGGCTAAAGCCTGAGGGCCTATAGGCCCTTGTTTCAGGCTGTCAGGCTGAAATGCCACGGGGCCTGTAAGCCCTGGATTTCAGGCTTTCGGCCTGAAACAGACACGGGGCCTGTAAGCCCTGGATTCCAGGCTTTCGGCCTGAAATAGACACGG